CCGTCGTTTCCGAACCCAACCGTCTTTCCTCTTTCTCCACCATCGTTTCCGACCCAGCCGTCGACGATTCCGATAAGATTCTTCTTTTTCGTATTTTCTCTCCTCAAATCTCCACTTAGATTGTGTCCTTATTGTTGTATTTCATTCAATTTGGTATTGATTTGAGTTAGAGAGATTATTGTTCAACCTAGGATTTTGTTTATTTGATTCAACTCGTGTTGGAGTTTTGTTGGTTTTTCAATTTGCATTTGGATCTTTTGTTGGACCAAATCAGGAGCTACGTTTTCTAAAGTTAAGATAGAAAAATAAACCTCTTTTGATAGCTCGCATTGTTAGTGATGATTTGAGCTCATCATATTTTAATGAAAACATTCGGTCTAGAGCTCCTTAGGGTTTAGATTAATTATACACTGTTGTTAAAACTTTCAATGAATACATTCTGAAGTAACTTGTGTACAATTTTCCAAAAAATGAGTTATGTGTATTATTTGTGAAAAGTTTGTTATTACAATTGGTCTTGCGTTGTTGTTACTGCTTGTTAGCTTTCGGTTTTCATGCACCTTGTGGAGTTGTGATATGGCCAGAGATGGTCAGGTTCCTACTATTTGATAAGTGGGTTTGGACTGTTACATCTCTGATACAGAAAATAGAGAGAAAGTGATGTTTTTTATGGTTTTCATAGATTGTTGATATGATCTATTTTGATACATATATTGTGATTAATATGATGCATGATGATGGTTTATACATATATATTGTAATTTGTTTTGTTACTTCATTTTTTTAATGTGTTCATAATACTTTGATAATGTTTAAAATTGTTAATCACTTATCCAAGTTTTGATATTTTTCATTGTTTAATTCATTGTAGGCATGGATTCAGAGTTGCCTAAAAGAATTTTTAGAGAACGTCATGGAGCGGAAGTGACAAAGATCAACAACAGTTGCAGGATGTCCATTCTCAAGAAAGTGCAGCAGCTGCTGCCAACGGATTACGATGATGTGAAGGCAGATCCTCTCTTCTCTTATATCATGGCAATCCATGATAATTGTCTAGGATACTCGGAGAAATTGATACACAG